CGCTTCTTCTGGGCCGCCTTCTTCCACGCCTTCGGACCGAACAGCGATCTACGAGCCGACTTGGGAGTTGAAGTATCGGCAGGTGGCGCATCACCGAGACCGGCAGCTGCCATCGAAGCACTGGCCTTGTCCGTTGGGATTGGAGCCTTGTCTTCGTCAGAGTCGTCCGGATCGTCGTCTGAATCCTCGCCACCTGGTCTAAGACGCTTATAAGACTTCCCATGGGCCACTTGGTGAGCTGCTTTGGCCAAAGCTGCTGGAAGGGCTTGAGGATTGTCCGAAGACGCGGTGGCAGACTGAATACGCCGCAGAGCGACTAACGTCTCCTGATCCAAGTCCAGCGCATCCAGGTCCAGCTCACCCGCAGTCAGACCTATCACGAAGGATTGTGAACGAACGTTAGTTGCTGAACACACGGTGGAAGGAGCGACATTAAGAGCGTACCTTCGACAGCCAGACGAAGTACCTCGGGATCCATCCCTGCCAGACTCACGTGTTCACGGAGGGTACGATTCGCTTGAAGGAGGCAAGTGTTACGGTCTTGCTGGTTCTCGAGGACCTTGAGCGTGTCGTTATCGACATACTTGCCCTGGGCAAGCTTTACCAGAAGGAGGTGGAGCTTCCGGGTCTGCTCAGTATTCGCGCCAATAGAAGACTTGTACACTTCGCGTTCGCGAGCCAGCTGCTTCTGCAACGTGCTGATAAAAACGTCCCGAGCTTGGACCTCGCAGTGCAGACGATTCAAGTCTTCTGCGTGTCGTTCCATAGTGGCTTGAACAGTGGCGAGCATGGCGTCGTTCTTGGCGTTCGACTCGCGGAGAATCTTGACGTGGTGGTGTAAGGCTTCAATCTCAGCGTTTGCAGCCTTGAGGAACGTCTCCGCGTTCTCACGAGCCATGATGTGGGGTGCCACCGAACGCACGGCGGCAGCAGCCTCGGACTGAGCAAACCGCAACTGACGCTCTAAGTCGGCAACGCGTTGGGGTAATGCCGACAGCGCGTCAGGAACAGGTTGTATCGCAGCGAGGACCTCATCGAACCCAATAGCTGTCTCGAGGCGACGCTGAGTGTGTATATCGCCGTGGAGAGGAGGCGCAACGCTGAGCTGCACTTGGTGACGAGCTATTGCAGTCAAGTACGGGATTATCGAGGTCATCATGTGATCGACCGATGCCTCCGTATTCTCAGCCAGCATGGCGCGCAGCGAATCTTCGGTGAGTGGTGGGGGACCACCAACAGGCGCAGGAGGACCAGCAGGAGCCATCTCCGCGGGTTCAGCGACGACGGGGAGTGCTGCAGGAGCTACCACAGGGAGTGAAGAGTCCGGGGCAGCGGGCGCCGAAGGACCAGTTGATGACGCCGCTGTCGGAGGAAGTGTAGCAGACTGAGGGACGTTCGAACCCTCGGCCTTGCCCTCCTGAGAAACAAGTCGAGTAATGCGAGGTGATGAGCAAGGTGCCGATGATTCAAGAGAAGGATGGGCTTACGTACCTCCAGCTGCTCACGCTCGCGACGTCTACGAGGATTGAGACGCTGAAACGCGTCGGACACGACTCGATTCAGACGCTTGGACATACGGTGGCGAGATGGTGAATTGAAGAATGAAGAAATGTCACAACGGGCACCAGTACCGTGGCTTCCATTGCGACAGGGGCAGTTGTGGTGTAGTGATTTCTCCGTGGTTGCGGATTATCACCCGTCGACAAAGACGTGACACCGCCCATGTTGTTCAAGCGACGAACCCTCGGTCGGGTGATGTACGGAGACGCCAAGGTGCAAGGGACTCGACGGCGTCACCTCCGAGTTTTCAACAAGTATCGGATACGGCCCTATGTCACTGAATCCAGGCTGTCCTTATTATTAATAATGGACTGGCCGGATTCGCATTCAGCGGACCATCTACGGTACGAACCCTCAGTGGCGGTTGGGATGAGTTCGCGGAATACTCAGCGACCTTTGGAAGACACGTTCACCGTCTGGGACAGGGCGCGGACCGTTAAAGATGCTCATGCGACAGTGCAGACGACGCTTGGCATGCAAGAAGATCCATAACGGATCATTGTTCACTTGATATTTGTATACTTGATTAGGACTTCTTATTAGGAATAGACCCGAAAGGGTAAGCTTAAATACAGAACAGAATTTCCACTCAAGCACACAGAGCGACGTCCGGCTTCAAGGTAAGCGTCAGGTCAAGCTTGTTTGAGTGTGTTATGCCTGTCGGTGAACTCGAAGCTCTGTAGCGAGGGTTCATCCGGCAAGGCCAAGAGACTTTGTGTATTGGCCGATTATTATCGGGAGGTTTTACGTGACGGCTTATTGTTGCCTATTTGCACGACTGGGAGTGCTTGAATTGCCTCCCTTTTATTTCTTCCAGCCGAGTGTTGAACACTCGGTGATCTCGTAAAAGGCTTACCCGTGCCTGGTACCCTTCCGCTGTTGGGACCACAAGGATTCAAAACACCTGCTAGCTTTGCTCGTGCTAGTAGCGTGTTCTTATATTACTGGTTGGCCTATATAAGTAGTTTACAAGGTCCAGTTTGTCCCGGTGCAAGGGCAGAACTGGGGTCTTCAGGTCCGCCCGAACGATCGTTTACTATCCTAGTAGACGTATTGTTGTGGGAACATCCTAACTACATCTGTAGCTAGAGTTCACGTGGGATTTCCAACACCACACTGGTACATCGTTCCTTATACCATACACAGCAATTGCACGTTCACCGTAGCTACGACTTCCTCGTCATTGGCAGAAATTGGCGAAGCGCCTAATAGCTTCTGCACTATTAATAGGTCCCATTGATCCGTCTTGCTAGTACAATGCACCAGCCAATGTACCCCATCCTCAGTGAGGTCAAAGCCGCTCGTTCGCAATGTGTCTCGAACGCCAAGGGCTGCCTGCATGTCACCCACCGCAGCGTAACTTTTCAAAACAGAATTGTAATGTTCACTGGTTAGCACGACATCGAGCGCCTTCGAGCACTCCATCGCGTGAGCACTAGCTCGTGTGGCTTATACTTCATAGCTGCACTTAACGTGACCTCGAATGCTCGGGAAGCCTGGGACTCTTCAGCGTTCAGCATTTCCGCCAGTAGCTTAAAGACTACCGAATTTTGCGAAAGGGTGGCCCCCTCATTTTGTAGCTTTTGGTTAGCCCCCCCCCCCCCTCTTCCGATTTCCTATACTAAGTGATGGGCGTTTTTGTTTGGCTGAGCAGCTTTAGGATAGCCCTCTATCCGACTTTTGACCAATCCGATTGATTTTATGCCACGAGGAGTCGACGTCGTCGGCTGTGATCTAGCGGTAGGAGGAAGAAGCTGTGTAGCTCATGAAGAATGCGGAAAACATGTGAATGTGGGGGACATGCTCCTGTTCCGCGAGGAGGTTGACGACCAAGGGGACAACAAGCTAGTATACTGCTTAAAGGCATACTTGATTCGTGATGGCTCACAGACCTGCCACGTAGGCTACCTGCCGCGTAGACTGCTTATCTAGCGTGCCGCGTATAACAGGCAATTTGCTACCATCGTTGAGGATCTACAGCACTCAGCGAACGCTCAGAAGCGCCGCGGTCGGAGCGAAGTGGTGGCATGGTTAGATGCTTAATGCTGAGTAAAATTGAGTAACAGCTTAGATCGTAATGCTATCTTGAATATCTTCTATCTCATCTTCTCCGTCGCTTTCCTCTTCATGCTCTGTAGCTACTCTCTCTACGCCGAAACCAATAGAGGTAAACGTGTTGCGAATAGACTGTTCGCTAATGCCTTCCCAAGCTTTAGCAATCCATGGGACGATGATTTCTCTCTTTGGAACAGGTACGTTAGCGTCATGAGGAGCTGTAGCCATTTGCGTCGCTGCCCAGTCGTCGTACTGTGCACGAACGGCCTCTTTGATCGGCTTGTTGACCCCAACGTCACACGGCTGTAGTACACACGTGTAACCCCCCGGAATAATGTTTAGATCAGTCCCTAAATCACTCAGCTGTCTGCCAAATACCGGCTGTGTATGACTCTTGAATTCGTCCAGCAACAACAGCGAGGTTGTATTGTTCGCAACGAATGGCGTCCACGCCTTTTCCAGCCATATTCTACAACCACGGTCGTCCTAAACTATACATTAGAAAGCGTTATGAAATATCGTAGCAAAAAGTAACTTACCATCCATCCATTTTCTTGGCAGCAGCCAAATACCCCGGTGGAAGTAGTTTGCCGAGCTTCTTTTCTATAGTACCACCAGGTTTGGCTTTGAACACTAGAAACAGCGGTAGCTTAGTGCCATCCTGAGGGCAAGTGATGCATGCTGTAAGTCGCTGACTATTGGACCCGCTGCCACGAATGGCTACACTGCTGCTGCTAGTAGGTGCAATAGTTGTAGTTCGTAATGCACAGCCATCTCGTCCATATTGACGATCATTGATGGTGGCGTTCCTTCCAGTGTACCACCGGGACGGAAGCGCTCGTTCACCATCTCAACAAAATCGTTGCGTACAGATTGTAAGTGCCTTTTATTTTTTGCCGCTAAGCTTTTGACCGACGTGAGTACGGCGCCGGATACTCAGCCGTTTGCGCTGCACAAATGGGTACACCCAGTGGCGAAGGCGTTTGCGGTCACCTTCCTTAAAAGTCGGGTCGATTGATAACGCTTTACTGATGACATGTCGTGTTGAAACAGCAATATCAAGGCCTCGGCGATGCAGAATCCAAGCAGCAACTTTATTTTCGAGAGCTGGCGCGTGCAAGGGTCGGCCGACCGAAATCGCTCGGGCGCGTGGGTTCCTCTTCACTGTATCTTCTAAACGCTCTTTATTCCTTCGCCACTGCCGAATCTGAGACGGGTACATCTTGTGTATGCGTGCTGTGCCCTTGACTGTTCCTCTCTCGACTTCCAGCAGAATGCTAAGTTTGTTCCTTCACGGTTAGGCGGGTTTCACGTCTTGGCATCCTTCTGAACCGAATATTCTCCGAATGGCAAACTGAGTTGAGCTCGTCTGGCAGCTGTGTCTATCAGCCAATTACTTTGTACTCGGGCAAATTGAAGTGCCCTGTTAGGTAAGCCCTCTTTTGTGATGTCAGAGGGGGCCACCCTTTCGCAAATCTCGGTAGGTCAATTTCCCTTATGTTGTGTGCTGACAGCATTGCAGTCGTGAACATGAAGTTTTTCGGAGTATGTTTACCCTTACCGTATAGGGCAAAGATCTTAAATACAGTATCAAATTTGCCGAACTTGTAGCAGGCTTGCAAGAGCTCCGCAATTGGTGGTGTTGCCAGCGAGACTTTCCGCTTGATGCAGAGATTCAGCACCTGCACCGCTTTATCGAGTTTCTGCGCGCTAGTGAGCGTCATCACTAGCATCTTTGCCACATCTGTCGACAGTCCCGAGCCGTTGGAGCTTTGGATCGATGCAAAAACCTCCAGCGCCACCTCGGATTTGTCTGCAGTACCGCAGAGGTTTTGGATTTCTTTGCTCGGTAAAATTTGAGTATTTTTCGCTTCTTCGGCGTATCGTTTGAATCGTTGATTTGGAATTTATGAGAACGAGCCACTTTGGATCTTCGAGACTTCCGAAGACGAGGCGAAGGACCCACGCGTGAAATCACAAGGTGGTGCGAGATCTGTGGCGCGCGTCAATACCTTTGTGGTGGTAACATGAGGGGGCGCATGCCGCAACACGCCACCGAGACTTCGACACAAACCCAGAATCTTGCAGGCAGTGAGTGGGCTTGGATTTTGGGTGTCAGTCTATTAGGACAAATTCTGATTGGGTTATTTTTTTATTAATAATCCGAAACCCTCATCAAATTATTTTAATATATCAAAACAAATAAGACCGTGATCCATTATTGCTGCCCTTTAAACGGATTTGTAATTTATTTTTAATAAAATACCTTTCATCGAATTAATAAATTTTAATACCAAAAGTGTGCGCTGTGAAATGTGCAGTTACCGGTAACAAGAAAACCTCAGTGCTGTGGAAGTTCACCATACAATCAATTTATCAAAGTGCTTTCTGCAGCATCACGCCGCATCTCTTGAGCCTACGAGCTAGAATAAACTCGTTCCGTTACCCCTATATACATGCTGCGCTGTTCCCTCTTCATGTCATATTGACGACGATGGCCGCCGCCAGTGCCAGTCCCGCACTTGCTGTCGCCGCTTGGTTAGTCTGCTGCTGCTTGCGTCGCTGCTGCTCCTGCTTCTGCAACACGCCGTAGAACTGTTTATCCTTGCTCTGCACGAACGCCATAGTGCACGGCTTGTGTGAGTTGCGGATGAGCACGTTCAGCTCCCTCATCTCGAGGTAGCGGACGACGCGCCCGTCAACAAATCGCAGCTCGAAACTAGAGTCCACGCCAGCCTCTCTCAGTGCACCCTCGCACTTCTTGACATGCACCGGCGGCGGGGGCGGCGCGAACACGAGCGAGACCGGGCTTACCTCGCGTTCCTGCTTGAGTACCGCCATACGCGGTGCGAAATTCGCCTCGATTATAGGCTCCCCATGAGCCTCAAGCAGCACGTCGCCAGTGTTCACGTCGGCACGCGAGGAGCGTGTTACAATCACGCGTCGGGACGTCTCCTCAATGCCTAAAGTTACGCCGAGCGGGTTGGCGCCCCAGTGAACGGTATGGATGGCCGTGGATGGCGGCGACCGCATGAGCTCGAGGCCTATAGGCTCGCCACCCCACTGAAAGCGCACGACCAGGTCGTCGCTGCCATCGTTCGACAGGAAACTCGCGCAGGTCGACGACGCCCGCCGCTCCATCGTCTCAGAATTTGGTCTCGACGAACTTTGGAAGAAATGCTTTGCTGTTCGTAAGTTACGTGTCGTAGCATGTGGCAGGATCTTACTGAAATCAAATCAAAACTGCTGACTCGATTAAATGGTCGCTGGTTGGCCAGCATAATTTTCAGCGCGAAAATCGACAATTAACTGACCAAGGTGTCGCGGTCGCGCGGCTTGGTTAACAAACGCTGGGTGGTCACTGAAGACAGAGCGATTCTGTGGCTTGAGAAGGTCTGTTACATCAGAAGCATCAAGGCACTGCATTGCCTGAGTGGGCAGCTATGCTATAATTATACCGCCAGCAATAGTAAAGGCTACAGCCGTTACTGAGAGTTTTGATGGAGGGACGCGACGTTTGACGAGCGGACTACCGGTAGGAGCAAAACACAACCATCTTGAGCATGGCCGAGTCGCATCCGGATGCGACGATGGACACGGAGGAAGGCGAGGAGCAGCCGTCCAATGGCTCAGCCACGTTAACTCCAGAGCAGCAGCTGATGGCACGCTTCAAGCTGCACAAGCAGCACCGTCAGGATAAAGAGCGACGTCTGCAGCAAACTCGGCTAGCCGCCGCCTCTCGCGCCAGTCGCAATGCTGCAGCGGCGTCTGGAGCTCTAAAATCTTCTTCAAGCAAGCAGTGCAAGCCGAAAGTTGATCTTTCACGTGTGGATCATAACAATCGTCCACATCGCTGGAAATCCGCCGAAGAGCTGCTTCGTGAACAGGAGCGAAGAGCTCAACAGCATCAACTCACTGCACCTGCTCCAGTGCGACCTTTTCCAGGTAGAGTGCGTAATCAAAATTTGGACGATAGTCCATCACAAAATTTGGGCACAAATGAAGAGGAGACTACTTTACTTGAAGAGGACATTTTACAACTGGACCAATCCCAATTTCCGCTGCATATTTTTGATAGTGACGAGTTCGAGGCCCATACGCCGCAAGAATGGCTCGAAAGGGAACGTGTCGGTGCCTCGCCGTATTTCTTCCAAGGTGAATGGCGATGGAGAAGCTGTGCGATATTGGGCTACGACGAAAGTCGCACTCAATATTTGGTCCAGTTCCAAGGATCCGATCGACAAAAATATGTAAAGAGGATCAATTTGCGCTTCGAGAGTGAGTCCATCATTACGTTTGAGAGACGCGTCGCAGCGGCAAGAGAGAGAAGGGATCAAGTTAAGGCGATGCTGAGATTTGATGACTTTTTAGCGAGACAAGATGCGTCACAATCGAGAGCAATGGGACGCCCCACTCTAGAACGTGTGCATGCTCGAGTAGTGGCCGGTCTACCTGAACGTGTGGCCTTGTTGGACTCGCAACCAGCTGCGTCACTATTACGTCAACTCACAGACACTGCTATTCAAGAATACATGCGGAGTATGAAGAAAGCGGCGCTGCTAGCTAAATTACGCAATGATCCAGATTTACAATCAAGGTTTCAAGGTTTAGATTTGTATCCTGGTTCTAAAAAACAGCTAGAATTGGGTACTGTTACATCCGGGAACGTGGCAATCCCAAGTCACAACTTTGACATGAATCGGCGGCGTGTAAGCTCCAAGACGTACACGAGCTCGCCGCAGTTACTCGCTGTGTTACGACGTATGTACACAGGCTGGGAGAAGACGTTCCAGAAGTTAATACTTGTCCAAATCGACAAGGATACCGCTAACAGTACGGAAGGTCAACGCAACGCAACAACGACACCCAGTTTAGCGTCCCAAATGCCGTTCCGCGTCCTAGATTTCCAGGCTCTACAAGCTGCGCATGCCAACAAAGTGGCCGAGATCCTATTGGTGGATTGGAGACGTGCTCTGGTCGAGAATATCATCGATAATCTGCAAGACCACTTCGATCTATTCCTCTCGGATCGCGTAAGCTACGACTCTAGTCGACTCAAACGAGTGCTCACTGGACTGGAACTGCGTCTGGCAGCTCAACTACGTCAAGTTGTACGTCGCTCAATCGACGAATGGGTGCGTTTCGTGCGTCATCATGCCGAGAGTGGGAATCTCGTCTTGCCGTCTGATACTCAAGAGATAGCTAGACAACAGCTAGCGCTAGAGCACACGATCCGAGCGCCTCGTAGCTCGCTATTCAGCGTCCAATTAGCGTTCGTGAACGACCAAGTGATCGTGGAACCGTCCGCGCAGGACGTGACGGCGGCGTTGCTTGAACCGCTCGACGCAATCGCCGCCGCAGTCCAGGAAATCGACCGCCTGGACTGCGATATCATGGGCTTGTTGTCTCTGGATCGCAAACCATTACTTGACTTTAGTGTCGACTCGGGAACGGGTCGAGATAGCGCAAGTCGTCGAGCTGTCGTAGCCGAATGTTTAGACGCTCTACAAACCGCGAAAGACGCAGTGTGTGCAAGTGTGGACCACGCGATGCAGGCAGCCCACGCGCTTGCTGCCCAGTTCGCCGTGTACACGGCCTTCGTGCACTTCGATGCGTCTGCGTTCCTCGCAGAGCTGCAGCCAATACAGCAACAAGAACTGCAGCTCTTGAAGCAAGACAAGACGCCGGAAGACCAGTACTTGCCGCGCTTGTGTGCGCAGATCCGCCGATTCCACGAACTGGCCTTCCGCGTGGACGTCATCGCCTTCGACTTCGTGGCGTTGCCGCTTGTGTGTGTGCACACCAGTGCGTTAAAGAAGCAGTTGCGCGCTAGGTCTCTGGAGCTACGCGATACGCTCATCTCGAGCTTAGTACGTGACGCACGGGCGCAGAACTTGGCCATCACGGCGCGATACGCGGCGATTCTAGCGCGTATCAACGAGAAGCCAACGAACGAGGCGCAGCTGGCCAGACTCAAGCAGTTCGTGAGCGAGAGCAAGGCCGTGATCGCCGGGATCCAGCGCGAAGTGGCCGCCATCCACGTGCGCTTGGACGCGCTGAACGAGTTCTCGCACAAGCTCTCGGCTGAGGACTTTACACTGGCGCATTCGACGAAAGAATGGCCGCTGAAAGTCGCGCATGCGGCGGACTCGTGCGATTCGGCACTAGAAGAGGACAAGGTGCGTATGATGGACCGCTTAGCGCTGGAAAAAGAGGCGTTCGAGCTGGATCTGGAGCATTTTGAGGGCGACGTCCGAGCGTTCACGCGATACGGCGAAGTGGAGCACACAGACAAGTACGTGGAGCAGGCAGTCACGCTGTTTGACGCGCTACAAGACGCGCGCGCAAAGGCTCAAGACTTTAACGCTCGAGAGGCCGTGTTCGGCTTCCCACCGACCGAATACACGCCGCTGTTGGCCAAGCTGGAAGGAGACTTCGCGCCGTATTACAAGCTGTGGACTATGAGCTCCGAGTTCCATTCTAGTCGCCAGACGTGGCTCAACGGCTCGTTCCTGGAGCTCAAAGGAGGAGCCATTGAAGCGCTCGTGACGGAGTGGTGGAAGGCGTCGTATAAGCTGAGCAAGTCGCTCGTCGACGACGCACCTGGATCCGCTGAAGTCGCGCTGATACTACGCGAACGAACGGAGGAGTTTAAGGCGTACTTGCCCGTGATCCAGTCGCTGGCTAGTCCGGCCTTACAAGAGCGTCATTGGGAGAAACTGCGTCACACTATCGGCTTCGAGGAGGCTGAAGAGGAGTTGACGCTGCAGCTTTTACTGGATCGTGGCATCACGCAACATCTAGAGACGATCCAGGAGATCGGGACGTTCGCAGAGAAGGAATACTTGCTTCAGAAGAGCTTGAGTGCGATGATTGCCGAGTGGGAGAAGGTCGAGTTCCAGACGGCGGCGTACCGCGAGACCGGCACGTATTTACTGCGCAGTACAGACGAGATCGTGGCGTTATTGGACGACCATTTAGTCAAGACCCAGACGATGCGTGGCTCTCCGTACATCAAGAGTATCGAGAAGGATTGTAAGGCTTGGGAGAAGAAGTTGCAGTACTCGCAACAGCTTCTGGATGAGTGGATGGCCTGTCAACGTACGTGGCTCTATCTCGAAGCCATCTTCAGTTCTGAAGACATTATGCGGCAGATGCCCACCGAGGCACGTCGCTTTGCCAGTGTGGACGCGTTGTGGCGGAAAAGCATGGAAGATACCGTTGCCGAGCCAGCGTTTCTAACAGTTATCGCTATGGATAAGCTACTCGCCAAGTTCCAACGCGCTAACGAGAAACTGGACGAGATCCAGAAAGGGCTGAACGATTATCTCGAGATGAAGCGTCTGCACTTCCCTCGCTTCTTCTTCCTCTCGAACGACGAGCTGCTGGAGATCCTGTCGCAGACCAAAGAACCGCGAGCTGTGCAGCCTCACTTGGGCAAATGTTTCGAGGGCGTCTTCAACGTAACATTCCAAGACGGACCTCCTTTGTTGATCACGGAGATGCGTTCGGCGGAAGGGGAAATTGTACCGCTGAGACTACCAGTCAGTCCCGAAAGTAACAAGAACAAAGGCAACGTCGAGATGTGGCTATTGGAAGTCGAACAGAGTCAATGGGACAGTATTCGCGACCAAACGGAGCGATCTATGGCGGCGTATCCACTGGAACAACGCGAGACGTGGATGCTGAAATGGCCAGCGCAAGTGGTGCTCGCTGTCTCGCAGGTCTACTGGACACAGGACGTGACTCGAGCTCTTAATCTTGGGAATGGACTCAACGGTATCAAAGAGTACGTCCAAGTGCTGAACACGCAGCTGGACAAGATCGTCATGCTCGTACGTGGTAACTTGACCAAGCTGGAGCGAACGACTATCGGCGCGCTGGTGGTTATCGACGTCCATGCACGCGATACGATCTCGCATATGATCGAGAAGGACGTGGAGAGTGACCAGGACTTTGAATGGATCTCCCAACTCCGGTATTACTGGACCGAAGGTGTAAAATCCGCGGGTGTGTTCGACTTACAAGCGCGGATTGTGAACGCGCGAGTGCGATACGGATACGAGTATCTGGGCAACACCATGCGGCTCGTTATCACTCCACTGACCGACCGATGCTACCGGACAATGATGGGCGCTGTGGATTTAATGTACGGTGGCGCACCGGAAGGTCCGGCAGGAACGGGCAAGACGGAGACGGTGAAAGATCTGAGTAAGGCAATTGCGATCCAGTGCGTGGTGTTTAACTGCTCCGACGGGTTGGATTACTTAGCGATGGCCAAGTTCTTTAAAGGCCTGGCTGGATGTGGCTCGTGGTGCTGTTTCGACGAGTTTAATCGTATCAACATCGAGGTTTTATCGGTGATTGCTCAGCAGATTCTGACCATTAACGAGGGCAAGAAAGCGGGCGTGGACAAGTTTTTATTCGAAGGAACGTTCATTAAGCTTAACGCCAGTGCCAACGTGTTTATCACGATGAATCCGGGCTACGCGGGGCGTGCGGAGCTCCCGGATAACCTTAAAGCGCTGTTCCGTCCGTGTGCTATGATGGTACCGGACTACGCCTTAATCTCGGAGATTCGACTGTACTCGTTCGGCTTTGCTAAAGCTCGTAGCAACGCCCGGAAACTCACTCAAGTGCTGCAATTGGCGTCGGAACAGCTATCGTCGCAGAAGCATTACGACTACGGTATGCGCGCAGTGAACTCCATCCTTGTAGCGACTGGTGCATTGCGACAACAGCTCGGCAACGACCCGTTCTGGACGGAAGATAAGATCGTCTTGCGCTCGGTACAAGACGTCAATCTGCCCAAGTTTACGTCCGATGACTTGCCTTTATTCCGCGGTATCACGTCGGATTTATTCCCCGATGTGTTACTGCCTTTACCGGACCATGGCGCATTGTTACGTCACATTGACGAGACGTGTGAACGAGGGATAAGTATCGTACCGGACGTCACCATTCCGCTCGAATGTAAACCCGAATTTAAGATGAAAGTTGTGCAGTTCTACGAGACGGTACAGGTGCGCCATGGTCTCATGATTGTCGGCACGACGGGGTCGGGTAAGACGTGTGTGGTGCACTCGTTAGCCACTGCCATGACGTCGTGTTATAACGAGGAACTCGAGCTACAAGAAGAGAAGGGTACAAAAGGTGCGTCGACGCTGCAACAGCGTGTGAATATCCACACGATGAACCCGAAGGCCATCACGAGTGGCCAATTATACGGCAACTTTGACGAGAACACGCACGAATGGTCGGACGGAGTGCTCGCTTGCACGTACCGTACCTGCGCGCGAGATACGAGTTCGGAATTACAGTGGGTTATGTTCGATGGGCCTGTGGACGCTGTGTGGATTGAGAATATGAACACGGTACTGGATGACAACAAGAAGCTCTGCTTGATGAGTGGAGAGATCGTCAAGATGACGGACAGGATGCGGATGGTGTTCGAGACGGAAGATCTGGAAGAAGCCTCTCCTGCTACCGTCTCTCGTGTTGGCATGGTGTTCTTAGAAGCCAAGGTACTTGGATGGGAAGTGCTGGTACGGACATGGCTACATACACGGTTACCCATGGCCTTTACGGCTCATAGTGAGTATCTGGAAGAATCGTTCCGTTGGATTGTACCTCCGATACTTTATTTCGTGGATAAACACTGTACTGTCCCCACTCCTGTGACGTTCCTGGAGCATGCTGCGTCGTTGTTGAGACTCTTTGAGTGTGCTCTTCGAGATGGCTTCCCAGAGCCAAGTGAGAACTCTACGGCACCGTCTTCTGCTCCGACTGGGGCGGATGCACAGCGTGTTCTGGAATGCCTACTTATCAAGGCGGTTATCTGGTCGATTGGAGCTTGTATCGACTCGAAATCTCGCCGCGTTTTCGATAGATACTTGCGCGATTTCCTCTCCGCTGAATTGGCTGTCGCCGTGGCCACTGCCGAGATGCATACCGAACCTGTAGACGAAGATACAGGGGTCCCCACGTCGCCCTCTTTGCTTTACTTTAAGGACTTTGTGGCCAAATCTCCGTCCTATATGCTTCTACCGGACCGAGTAACAATGCTCCAAATACCCGACGACGGACTGGTATACGACTACCGGTTTGATGCTCGACGTTGCGTGTGGGTCAACTGGATGGAAGCTTCGGGAGCGTTCGTGATCCCTCGAGACGCTCAGTTTACGCAGATTCTTGTGCCTACGATCGACTCGGAGCGGAACGCGTGGCTGATAGACACACTGATCCGTCACCATTTCCACGTCCTCTGTACCGGTGATACCGGTACAGGCAAGTCTGTGTCGATTAAGAAGAAACTTCTTAGTGGCTTGAATGACCCTTCAGGTAGCGACACACCGCCCAAGTTCGCGTCTTCGATATTCCTCAACTTCTCGGCTCAAACTGGCGCGAACCAGACGCAAGATTTGATCGAAGCGAAGTTGGATAAACGACGCAAGGGCGTGCTGGGTCCTCCGCTAGGACAGAGCTGTGTTATCTTTGTGGACGATCTCAATATGCCGGCAAAAGAGACGTACGGAGCTCAACCTCCGATTGAACTTCTACGCCAATGGATGGGCCATGGAGGCTGGTATAACCGCAAGGATAACTCGTTCACTCAACTGGTAGATATCCAGTTTCTCGCTGCTATGGGACCTCCTGGAGGTGGACGGACACGCATAACACAACGTTATGTGCGGTATTTCAACCTTATCAACTTTGTACCGTTCGATAACGACTCGCTCCGAGCCATTTTCACGCGAATCACGGACTGGTTTCTACTTAACTTCCCACAGGCAGTTAAGCAACTGGGAGGCGCGGTTGTCAGTGCGACGATCGACGTGTATAACACCATCTCGCAGGCATTGTTACCCACTCCTGCGAAGTCGCATTATACCTTTAACTTGCGTGATTTATCCAAAGTTTTCCAAGGTGTCGCACAGGCTTCGATTGACTCGATCAAGGACGGTAAAGACTTTGTTCGACTGTGGAGTCACGAGTGTCTACGCGTCTTTTCTGACCGTCTTATCGACGAAAAAGACCGCGACTGGTTTGCCGATATACTGGCAAAAACCGTTAAGTTACACTTTGATTTGCAATATACGGCTCCAGATGTACGCGGACCGAATGCAACGTTAATTTACGGCAACTTTGGCGGCGCCGGGGATGGAAAAAATGGGGTTAAACACTATGCAGAGCTGCGCAATCGGGAGAAATTACAGATGGCCATGCAGGTATTTCTGGAAGATTATAACAATATGAGTGCTGCGCCCATGCGACTTGTACTATTCCAGAATGCTATTGAGCATGTGGCGCGTATTTCTCGCGTGATTCATCAGCCATTGGGCAACGCGCTGCTAGTTGGCGTGGGCGGGAGCGGCCGTAAGAGCCTCACGACGCTGGCTGTGTTCATGGCGGAGTTCAAATTGTTCCAGATTGAGATTTCTAAATCTTATTCTAGAACGGAGTGGCGTAACGATATCAAAAAGGTGTTACAGTTAAGTGGGTTAAATAACCAACCGACCATCTTCCTGTTCTCAGACACGCAGATCGTGGAAGAAGCCTATCTGGAAGATATCAACGGACTGTTAAACACTGGAGAAGTGGCCAATCTATGGGCGAACGACGAGCTGGTACAGATGAACGAAGCGTTAGAACCTGCAGCTACTGCGTCTGGTGTTAACGCTGGTAATAGTGCGGAGCTGTACAACTTCTTTGTGAGTCGCTGTCGTACGAATCTCCACATTGTGCTGGCGTTATCACCGATCGGTGAAGCTTTCCGTCGTCGCCTGCGTATGTTCCCGTCGCTGGTTAATTGCTGTACTATTGACTGGTTCGCAGAGTGGCCTGACGAAGCTTTGCGCTCTGTAGCGGATTATTTCCTTGTGGATATCGAGTTACCCGCTCACGTTAAGGTTGGAATCGTGGATGTGTGTGTAGGAATGCAAGAAAGTGTGAGTGCTCTTACTGGAGATTTCTTACAGTCTTTACGTCGATACTACTACGTGACTCCGACGTCGTATCTCGAGTTACTTAACACGTTCAAAAAGCTGTTAAATAACAAATGTGTCGAGGTGATGACGATGAAACAGCGATATGATAACGGCTTAACGAAACTCATGGAGACTGCCGAGCAAGTGGAGAAGATGCAGGTGGAACTGGAGGCCTTACAACCGTTATTAAAAGTGGCTACAATCGAGACTGACGCCTTGTTAGAAACCATCTCACGAGAACAGAAAGAAGCTAATGCCACCAAAGATATCGTCGGTGCAGAGGAGAAGCTGTGCAATGAACAAGCCGCAGAGGCGAACGGTATTAAGGAGAGCTGTGAGGCGGAGTTGGCTGAGGCCATCCCAGCGTTAGAGAACGCAGTTAAAGCGCTGCAGACGCTAACGAAAGGTGACATCACCGAGATTAAGGCCATGAAAAAGCCTCCTGATGGCGTGAAACTCGTTATGGAAGCTGTGTGTATCATGATGCGCGTACCGCCAGTTAAAGTGAAAGACCCAGCCGGTGGCACGAAGAAAGTGGATGATTACTGGGGACCGGCACAGAAGACGCTGTTGGGTGACACGCGCTTCTTACAGAACTTGTTAGAGTACGATAAGGATAATATCCCAGTGGAAGCTATGGATAAAGTGCGTCCGTACGCTGCGAATCCGGATTTCCAGGCTGACAAGATCCGGAAAGCGTCGGTAGCGGCTTCCGGACTCTGTAGTTGGGTACACGCCATGGTAGTGTACGACCGAGTAGCGAAGGTGGTAGCCCCTAAACGTGAAGCTCTAAAAGCCGCCACGTTGGCGCTAGAGAAGGCGCAAAGTGAACTCAAGGTCAAGCAAGATGCGCTGCAACTTGTGCTGGATAAAGTAGCGCGACTGGAAGAGGATCTGGCAGCGGCGTATAAGAAGAAGAGCGATCTAGAATTCCAAGTGGATGACTGTTCCAAAAAACTATCTAGAGCCACACAACTTATCGGCGGCTTAGGAGGAGAGAAAGCACGTTGGAGTGACATGTCGGCCCAGTTACAGATAGTGTACGACAACGTTGTGGGCGATATCATGTTGGCGTCCGGGGTTATCGCCTATCTAGGAGCATTTACCAGTGTGTACCGTGAACGTGCAGTGGATCAGTGGAGCTCCGAGCTCACTAAACAGAATATTACTTGCTCGAAGACTTTTACCTTAACGGAAACATTAGGAGAAGCGGTGCAGATCCGAGCCTGGACGATCGCCAAGCTGCCGAATGACTCGTTCTCGATTGATAACGCGATCATGTTACAACGTAGTAATCGCTGGCCGTTAATGATTGATCCACAAGGACAAGCGAACCGATGGGTTAAGAACATGGAGGAGAGTAACAATCTCAAGGTTGTTAAGCAGTCCCAAGCAGGCTTTGTACGCATGTTAGAAAACTCGATTATGATTGGTGCAGCTGTCTTGATTGAGAATATTCCCGAAGAAATTGACCCCATGTTGGAGCCGATTCTGTTAAAACAAATCGTTAAAACCGGCGGCGTGGCGACTATCCGATTGGGCGATAATACCGTGGAATACGACGCGAACTTCCGGCTTTATATGACGACCAAGCTGCGAAACCCTCACTACCCTCCGGAGACGTGTGTGAAGGTTAATTTGTTGAACTTTATGGCAACCGAAGAAGGTCTACAGGACCAAATGTTGGGCATTGTGGTGGCGAAAGAGGAGCCGGTATTGGAGCAACAACGAGAGAAATTGGTGCTGGAAGACGCTGCCAATAAAAAGACATTGAAAGAGATTGAAGACCAGATACTGTACTTGCTTCAAACTGCGAAAGGGAATATTCTGGATGATGAGCGATTGATCGAGACGCTCGGAGCGTCGAAGATTACAGCCAATAAAATTGAAGAAAAAGTCCGTGAAGCTGCAGTGACGCAGCACATGATCGCCGAGAAACGTCAAGGGTACTTGCCCGTGGCCTTCCGAGCGTCGCAGCTTTTCTTCTGTATTGCGGACCTTACCGTGATCGACCCGATGTACCAGTACGCGCTGGAATGGTTCATTAATCTCTTTGTGTTCTCAATCAGTCGAGCCGAGAGCTCGTCGGTATTGGCCACACGACTCGACAATCTCAACGACGCATTTACATTCATTCTGTATCAGAATGTATGTCGCTCTTTGTTTGAAAAAGACAAACTACTGTTCGCTTTCTTATTGGCGATTAAAATTCTCGTCGGAAACGGTACGATCGACGGTACTGAGTTACGGTACTTCTTTACCGGTAATACCCAGATGGATCTCCAGAAACCCAAACCAGTAGGCTCGGAAGTGTGGCTAAACGACAAGACGTGGGCAAATATCGTCGGACTGGATGCATTACCGTCTTTCACCGGTTTTAGTGATGCATTCGCTAAAGACTTGGCGCTCTGGGAGGTGTCTTATAACGCTACCGATCCAGCTGAGACGTTGATGAATATCCCAGTAGTTGCAGCTTTAGACGCGTTCCAACGTATCATCGTGTTACGCTGTATACGACCGGATAAGGTGATCCCTGCCGTCATGTCTTTTGTAGCGACAGAAATGGGTCAACGCTTCATCGAGCCTCAACCTTTCGACCTAAAAGCTGGCTTCGACGACTCGAACTGTTCGACTCCGCTTATCTTTGTGCTAACACCAGGTGCCGACCCCATGTCCGAGCTGCTTAAACTGGCGGCCGAACTCGGTTTTAACAAGAAGTTCGTGGCCATTTCACTTGGCCAAGGACAAGGACCATTGGCTGAAAATGCCATCGCCGAAGCTATCGACAACGGTACTTGGGTCTGTCTCCAGAATTGCCATTTATCGGTAAGTTGGCTGCCTACTTTGGAGAAAATTTGCGAGGAGATCACACCGGATCGCGTGCATGCGAGCTTCCGTCTGTGGCTTACAAGTGAGCCTACACGTGCCTTCCCGTCGTACATCCTTCAACATGGCGTAAAAATGACTAATGAGCCGCCGAAAGGAATGCGAGCGAATTTGAAAGGTTCGTACTTAACGATTGATGACCAGTGGGTAGCAACTTGTAAGCGTCCTCGAGAGTTCAAGAAACTCTTGTTCGGTCTCTGCTTTTTCCACGCTGTGGTGCGAGAACGCACCAAGTTTGGACCATTGGGGTGGAACATCAGCTACGTGTTCTCGTCGTCTGATTTGGCCATTTCTAAGGACCAATTGAAGATTTCGCTGGATGATTTGCAGCCAGATGACCCCATCCCGTACGCGGCGTTAGCGTACTTGGCGGGTGAATGCAATTACGGCGGTCGAGTGACAGACGATAAGGATCGACGATGCTTAACCACAATCCTCTCGGACTTCTACACACGCGATATCTTGTCGGACAGCTACACGTTCTCACCTTCGGGTTTGTACTACGCTCCGTCTGCGGACGGTTCGTTGTCGGTATTCCTGAACTTCATTGACCAACTGCCTATGAGCGAGGGACCCGAGGTCTTTGGTCTTCATGACAACGCCAACATCTCCACAGCTATCGCGGAGACGAATTTACTACTGGAATCCGCTCTGTCCTTGCAGCCACGAGGTGCATCTGGAGGCGGCGGTGCAGCCAAGTCGTGGGATGAAGTATTGGACGAAACAGCACGCGACATCGCGGCCAAGTTGCCTTCACTCTTTGACATCGAGAAGGCGGAACTCGCGTTCCCAGTGTGTTATTCCGAGTCGATGAACACGGTACTAACGCAGGAACTTGGACGCTTTAACCGGTTACTGGCGTTACTTCAGGTATCGCTGGTGGAGATCCAGAAGGCGATTAAGGGACTGGTCGTCATGTCTGCTGAGCTAGAAGCCATGGGGAATAGCATGGTCAATGGCCACGTACCGGCGCGTTGGTCTGCTGTAGCGTATCCGTCGTTGAAGCCATTGGGCAGCTGGGTTACGGACTTCTTGGCACGCTTAGCGTTCTTACAGAACTGGTTAACACTCGGTAAGGCTCCACCGGTGTATTGGATCTCGGGCTTCTTCTTCACACAGGCATTTATTACCGGAACGCAGCAAAATTACGCTAGAAAACATAAACTTCCTATCGACCAAGTAGGTTACGACATGGTCGTACTGGTACAACCAGCGTCAGAACTTACGGCGTCTGCAGAAGACGGGTGCCTACGTGGACGGTCTCTTCTTAGAGGGTGCACGCTGGGATGCGAAGACACACACCCTGGCGGAATCCAAACCTCGTGAACTATATGTGCCACTACCAGTTCTGCACTTGCTACCTAAAGCTCGTGACCAGATCGAACCTATCGAAGACACAGATCCCAAGGGGACCGCGCACGTGTATCTCTGTCCAGTGTACAAGACGTCCAAGCGTCAGGGAACGTTGTCAACTACTGGACATTCGACGAACTTTGTCATGTCGGTAAGACTGCCCATGAGTGAAGAACACCGACAGAAACATTGGATTAGGCGGGGTGTCGCCTTGCTCACCCAACTCGACACGTAATAATGCATTCTGTGGCATTGGGGGCAACATGAAATTTTAACGGTGCTTTTAAGAACGATGTGTAGTCCACATATAATGTCGAATATAAGAAATTGAGGCCGCCTCGGCAGGTTTTTAGCAGCCAGTAGAACGCGCCTATTAGCGTGAGTTTTATTAACCCTACCCTCGGACGACACCACATCACGTGTGTGACATGTTAGGTATAATATGCAGACAAATAGGTAAATAATCTAATATCGAGCCCCAGTGTCCGCTAAATAATCACCATTAGCCACAGTTGGCCCCGCTCACATACACGTTCATGTACACTAGACACGGTCATTACGATACATAGTACTTGAGTTCAGTAAGTTAAGGCGTGCGTGATTAATGTGTCGCAGTGCCAAAAAACAATTGTATGTAGTGTAAGCGGCAAAATCGCAATTGTTTGCACGTGTAGCCTATTTTGTGCGATAATAGGAACAACATGTCTAAATAGCACGCCCAAACTCTAAAAATTGAGTGTGCTAACGTGGGTGCGCGATCTAATGTGGCGCGGAATGTACATGTAGTATCATTTTGTGGCAGAAGACAATATTAGGTAATATATTTAATATAAACTGGTCTACCAGGTGATGTTATCACTAAATAAACCTCACCGATTTTGGAGTTACCTTTAACCCCTGTGTGCGAAACACTCTGTTATGGCGTACGATGTATGCATAGCAAGCACTCTCCATGTGACCCCTTGCAATTGCTCTTTTACGCTCACTGAGTTACATAAGCTGATCCTTCGTCGATGCATTCCTGGTCCTGCTCCGCAGCCGCAGTATCCATTTGCAGTACTTGACAGCCCAGTAGAGCTGGAGTAATATATGGTATTCACAATATTAACAGCCAAGAAATCAGACATACTTTTGTGCGATCTAAACACTTTTTATCCTGCACATTTTCACATCTCTGCAGGGTATACTATATATATACATTCGTGTTCATTGGTGTTCACAAATAATTAAATATCAACCCGTAGGACACTTTGTGATTCATAGACTGACATTCCTATACGTAAATCATATTCACCCTACTCGGTGCATGTAAACATGTCCAATTCGAACACCACACATAACGTTAAGTAAAGGCGATGTAACAATATCAGTGTATCAAACTGTTGTATTTGAAATGTGAGAGATCGACACCGAAAACTCCTTTGAGAACGTGTTTTCTTTACACTTGGAGTCAAGCCGTCCGAGCTCTTGAGTTAGACTGGCTGATGCGATACAAGTATTTTTGGAACAGTATGCGGAGGTCGTCGTACTTCGTGTCTAGAACGTGTGCAGGGAGATTGTAAGTGTTGTAGCCGGCATTCTTTCATTTCTTGAACCTGCTCATGACCTGCGTCCCATCCAGTATCTCGTCGAGTTTCGACGTCAAGAAGAGGTTTGTGCCTTTTCTCTCTTCTTCATCTGCATTTTCCTCCCCGAGCTCAACGGGGTCTTTGTCGTGGTAGCGCAGAAAGCGTTTTTCACCCCCAATGTCCTTGTTGGTCCCAAAGGAGCCAACAAGATTTTGTGACGTCGAGACTTTTGCCGCGTGGCTGGATGCCAATGTTGCAGCGCTACAGCTCGCGAAGAGAGCGGTCGCAGCAGTGGCAGCGACCAGGAGAGCGCATTCGCGATTGGAGATTGATCGTGATCCGAAGGGAAGACTGTGGAGGGCAAGTCAAATTGGTGAATGAAACGTCAAGCTGAAGCGCTATCCAGGAACCCATGGAAAACTACATAAATAGCATAGGAGCTCGCGTACAGTACAAGTACAATTGATCGCCCGGAGACAATCATTTCGTGAAACGCAGCTCTTAGGATTTGTGGATTTGCTCCATGGATTGGACATTTGGTATTCGATAATTGAAGTAAGGTACAGTACTACGTGTAGTAAAAATGGCATTTTTTAAAGCTTTGACTTTGACGTTAGAGCACAATATCACCAAAGCCACTGCTCATTTTGTAAGAATACAACTATAGTTAAAACAAGCGAGTTGGCCTATTCAGGATTTGGTCGGTTTCGTCACTTGTAGACAAGTTGGTGAGCTTTTATCATTTTACTTATACTAGCGAGTGCTGCGCTCGGTTCTTTGTGTCACCATCCAATTGGGTCAAGCTGATTGCTCTGAAAGCTACTCGCATAACAAAAATAAATCATTAGATGCACCGTGTTGAGCATACGATCGTGAAATCTAGTTGCAATTGCAACATCGACCAGTGGCTACGCACTATTTACTGCACTTACAAGGGGGCAACCTCAAAATTTAGCCTGTTTTAGTATTTGATGAGTTGTAATGTTTATCAGTTTAGTCATGTTGAGCCAGGTGGCGCTTTGCGTTTGAGCGTTGGGTTCATAACCTGTTGCGGGTAACTTGGGCGCAGGTAGAAGGAAGTCAGGGTAGGAAGGAGTAAAAGAAGAAGAAGATTAATGTTTAAGAAAGTAGCGGGCTACTAGCAAGAAATTAGTATGCGGCATTCAGAAACATAGTCTAGAATTGCCGCTACCATTCATCGTACTAAAATGCTCCAGACATTTTAGTACATTATTTATTAGAGTCAAAAATACCGTGTCTCTTCATTATTAGTTTATAGAGAGCACGATGGAGAGGCGGTCCCTGTGACGGGCCCTAACCTCAACAGCCTCCCTGGATCGACATCAGGGAACGTCATTGGATAATATAATACACGTGTTTTGATTGGTCTACGAAAACCCTGCTAAAAGTGTTCAGTCAATTTACAAAATGGCTACACGAATTCGTGTTTTTTGCGTTTCTGAAGCTCCTAGAGACCCTACAGACCGGATTTGGACTCTACTCGCCAGGGCAGTTTCTGGGGAGGTGGAGTATTTGGCCACCTGTGCACCAGGTGGCAGACTGAAAAATGACTCGAAAGTTCAAAAGGAATTAGTTTTGACAGTGATAGGTTTTGAGAGTACACTTGTATTGAAGTTAATAGCAGTTACAACAAGTGGCCATCTTATCGGAGCGTGTATGTTAGCTTAGAGAAGCTCAATGCCAACAGAATCGGCCCACATGACGGACAGCCTTGAATTTAGTAGAGACGACAAACGCAGATGATGCTGGGACGGCATAAGGTCTCATTCTATGGTCCGGCGCGCGGTATAGGATCAATCAGCAGCTCGGGGGCTCATCGAGCTGATCTCGTAGTCTCACATCACAATTTACATTCTACTGTCACCGCACCAGCCACACGCACGTCAAGGACACGCACGTCAAGGCCACGACACCAACAAACTTCGATGCTTCAACAGCCAGCTTTGGGTATTGCAACGCTTCATTCTCGCTCAGTCGGCGTCATTCAGGATACTTGTGGAGACCAGGCAGATTGGCTCGAGGCTCAGTTATTTAACGCCAGCTTTGAGGATCATGTCTCGGTCGGCGCAGGTGGCCCGGATGGACTACAATGGCTGCCCCAAAGCAGTTACCTTCGACTACGATTTCTCTATATGAAATAGTACAGTTATATTTCACTAGATAGTCATCATCACTTCGACAGCCTCCCACATCGAGGAATGTGTATGATGCTCTATCTGTCGGATAGTTACCACAGGTGGCTGTTATAACAGTCCTGTACGTACATTAGCATTTACAAGAAGTAGATCTTGTTTTGATATTGATGATCTTTTTCCTTTGACTTTCATTGTCAGATTTGTCACCTTGTGCCGTTTTGCTTTGGCAATAACTGTGCTGATTTCTTGTTTTCATTGTTATTTTGGCTACTCAGGAAAACCTTAGAGGATTAAACCTGTTCACCGTAGTGATTGTTGTTGCTATCGTTTTAGTTATACGAATTTGTAGCAGCTACTTCAGGGAAACCTTTAATTTTAAGGATCAAAACCTGTTCGCTGAATTGTTGCTGTTATCGTTTTAGCTTTACGAATTTGTAGAAGCTACCTCAGGAAAACCTTTAATTTTAAGGATCAAAACCTGTTCGCTCTGTTGTTGGCTACTCAGGAAACCTTTGAGGATACACCTGATCACCGTATTTATCTTTATATATTTTGTGTAAGCGTTTTATTAATAGCTTTGTTCATTTCTTAAACTGCCATTGTTTTGCTCTTTAATATGTGGATATTTCTTTACAATGTGTGGTTTGTTTTTTGTTTTTCGCTGCTGAGGTCTTATAAAATTGCCTCCCAATTTCATGAAATGGTTGATATAGGTGCTGCAGTCATTTTCAATTTGTTCTGACTATTGTTATTGAGAGCTTATAGTTTTCAAATATTTTTGAAGAAAGGCTACAGCTTTTAAAAGCATAAATAACATCAAACAGTGTCATCGGTAGCGTACGCATCATATTTGCAGTAAGTGTGCAGGCTCTCGTCGTTGGGGTTATTTTTCTCCCTAGAGGCTCATCGAGTTGTTTCTCGTTTGGAAGTTTATAATTTTATTTTTACTTCGCAAGCGCTAGCGATAGATTTTGCAAACTATCGAATTCATTGTAGATGAAATTGATGCAGTAAAACTATAGTTTGCTTTCTGTAGACAGAGGCTTCTGTAGGCTTGTCTTGTAGTCATAAAGTGTTGATTTTTTTTCTTTCTCATTCTTTTGGTACTGTTATGCTGGAAATGTTTGAAACTTTTGCCAGTGACAATAAATGCTAAAGTTTGGCGAATGCATGAATAGTTTTTGGCGTTGATGCCTCCCAGTTTCATACATTTCATTAAGTATTTCTCTCTCAACGTTTGGGGTATATATATATTTTTCTTCGTACAAGCTTGGCAGCCTTTGTGAAATTTGCAATTTTGTTTTTGCATCTTGCAAATTGCATGTTTGATTTTATTCATAAATTTCTTTTGTGAATGTGGCATAAATATGTTTTGAGCAGCTAGGTAACAATGCTTGCACCAAAGCAATATTAGGAGCACACTTCACTCACATTTTATCTAGCTCACAGCTTTGGGGTAATTTTCTCCCTGGTGGCTCTTCGGATTGTATTCCGGATTTTATTATACCTCG